CCATCATATTCCAATTCGTGGAGTTCATGGGATATAACTTCATCTTGTTCATTGGCATTAACAACAATTAGTGGATCATTTACGATTAGGAGGGGATTATTACTAGTATCCAATTTATCTATCATTTGGCCACTCATGGGCAAGTCTGGAGTATCGTCTGCCTCTACATTGGAGAAATCTGAATATGCACCTTCATTTTTTCCCATAATATATGAGCGTAACCGGTATTTGAATTCTAGGGCATTGGGATGGTCATGGAGCCCTCCCTTTGCTCTAATTATACCAAAAAAATTCTCCAAAATGTCTTGATTTAAACGCCGAGTAAGAATGTATTGCGTATCAAACCTTCTTTTTAAATCTTCAAGCAAAAGTTTCAAGGCATTGTTGGACATCAGAATACCTAGTTAAATTTTCACAAATTATTAAAAACAAAACTAATTTATTCAAATTATTTACCATCCTGAAATGGAAGTAAACTTTTTCTTCCTTTTACTCTGATATTTAAAACTTCTTCAGACATTCGATCGATTACTTCATTTTGCTGCTCAACTTCCAGGCCATAACCTCGGTTCCTGGCTCTTGTGTCACTAAAAGGTACACTGACGTTAAAAACGTCAAACCAATCGTTTACCTACAAAATAATAAATTAATAAAAACAAAATGTATTGCAATGAAATTCTTACAGTTTTAAAAAAGTCTGCACATTCGGTCCAATTCATATCACCAGGAAGATATCCAAGTGTTCCACATCTACTAATGGCTTCTGAAATCGTATGGGAAAAGAGCTTAGCTGCAAATTTAACTTTTTGCCTTTGTGCCCCAACTACATTAAGTGTCTCTTTCGAAATTTTGTGCGTAATTTTGAGATCAGAAACGGCTGTAGCATCTAATGTGGATTCTACAATAGATTTGTTGATTTCTTTTCCATTATTATGAATAAAACCTTGATCCACAAAATGATTTCTGATTAACTTCAAAAGATGGGGCACATCAGCAAAGACATATATTTTTTCCCCATTGCAAGGATTCAAGAAGTGAGGTTTTGATTTTGAAATTTCCAGCTCAGTATGAAGTCCTCTATTTCCACCTCCTAAATCAGAAACCATGGCCACTACTGGAAAACCTGCAGAATAATATTTATTAAAATTTAAAACTTCTGATGAATTTTTAGACATACCTGAACTTTCCAAAAAATTGATGATCTCAAACAAAGTTTTAGCTGTCATTTTAAAGTCATAATCATAAAAGATTGGTTGTTTCCATGACTTAAATAGCCCCCTCATCATGACTACTTGTGCATAAGCAAAAGGCTTCAGAATTTCATCTTCTAACCGATCATAGATATATTCTTTCCTGATTTTAATTTCATCAAACATTATAATGCAAACTCTATCGTTATTATTAAAATCAGAAAATTCTACAAGTTTAAAGATGTTTTTAAGAATCCCTGGTTGAATTTTAATCTTTTTTAGCCAAGCTCTTAGTGTGGAGACTGCAGGGTATGGAAACCCTTTTTTTAACATAAGCCTGTATGCTCTGGGTCCAGCGGCATATAATACAATGGAATTTGCAATTTCGGTAGTAGACCATTGAATGCGCTTCTGGTGCTTTAGTTTTGAAATTTGATTTTTGGAAAAAACCTTTTCGACGGCAGACAGTGTTTCTTTTAATTCTGCTACTTCTCTGGTTTTTTCATTTAGTGAGTTTGTCACAGAATCAATTGTGGTGGCAGTCACGTCAGTTTGCACCCTAAAATGTAAAACATATGTTAATAACAAATAATTAAGTAGCAAATTAGATGCAGAAATAGGTACATTCAAAACTACTTAAATTACCACTTATTATCATTAGATGATGTCGAAGGAATATCACTCATGCAAGCACCATCAAAATTATGTACCAGACTACTGCCCGAACTACTTAACGTACTATCATTATTTTTACCACCAGTACCATCACCAGACCTACTAATATAAAAATTACCAAAATTATGACAATGCCCAATTTTACACAAAGTTAAGAATATTGGTTTTTAAGGTTAGAAATTTTATGTGTACTTACGTGTTCAATAGTTCGTCAACCAATTGCTTTCTCTGCCTTTTTTTAATACTTGCATCACGTCCTGAAGCAGCTTCAGCAGGCTTTGCATGTACCCCATAGGGTAGTTTTAAGTTCGGCACTGCATGATCTTCTAGCGGACGATAACATTTTGGGGTATAGTTCAATAACTTATGTCGCAAATTTATCTTAAAGTCACTTTCAGCAAAGTGCTTGGAACAAACATAAGACGTTTTAACGTTGAACTTGTCTTTTCTTCCCGTAGCATGAATCCACTTTTTGCACAATTCTCCTATTTTCGGAAATCGGAAAAATTTTACGTTGGGACACGGATTTTTTTTCGATTCATTGTCAGAATGGCATCCGTAAACTGCACAACGCATTGTTTTAGATAATAAATAGTCAAAAAACATTCACAAACTCGTCTATTGCAAAGTAAATCACGTTAAAAACTAATAACAATGGTGAAAAGACGCTGCGAGTGACGTAGGCCAGCCGCTTAGGCTCCTCCCATTCAGGCGCAATATCTTATCTTTGTTAGTTATATCGTGCATTAAAGCAGTGCGTTACCGACAGCGGTTACCGAGGGAGGTTACCGCTGGACGCCCCAGTGAAACCATACCTTTATGCATCCAAAGATATGTTTATCCAAGAAACCATTGAAAAAAGAAAAATTACTTTTTGGTGTACCAACTACACAATCGGTATTACCAAATTCAAGGACAATTGCATGTATCACAATATAAATATTGTTATTATTGCGTGTGGACTGAAAAATAATTAAAAATTGAAAGGAATCATGATTTTTGGAAAAAAACATGATTTAACAAAAAATTACTGATTTTTATCTACAATTCGTTCTTCCAGAACTTGTAAATAGTAGAATTTTAAGAGATTTAGAAGTACAAGACAAATTTTGCTCTTAGTAAAATGAGCATTGTTAGAAGCAGTTTTCCTTGTTCTTTAATCTAAAAAAAAATCAAGTCGATATCTCAATTAGTTTTAGAATTATAACTATGTAAACTCAAGAAACGAAATTTTTAAAAATCCACAATTTTTTTGTTTTTTTTTTCTATTTAGAAAAATAAAGAAGTTGTCAAGCCCCATTTAGAATGTATAAATGTTTATTTTACAAACATAGGTTATACACCAAAAAAATTTTATGGTCGATTTTGCTCCGCTGAGGATGAATATCATTATGGGAGGGTGGGTCACGTTGAGATAGGTACCATGAGACAGTGGTTATAATTTTTAAATTTGGCGCCACATAAAGATCTCTTTCCTGTATAGGGCATGTCTCAAGGCCCATTATGTTTTGGTATGTATTATTAGATATATTTTTTTATTTAGGATGTCACGAGGTCGAAAGAGAAAGTCTGATAAAGGACTATTACGCCCAAATCCATGAAAAACGCAGTGAAAGATGACCTGGAAAAAGAATTTAGCCTCAGAAGACCGGCGGAAGTTAATAGTGTTAAATTTCAAACATGTAAAGAAAATAAAAGAAAATTCAGACAAACAGTTGTCTTTTAAGCCGCAGTTTGATACCTGAAGAGTTTTAAACAATAAGTAAGAGGTATTACTGACTAGCATTAAAGCAGTGCGTTACCGACAGCGGTTACCGAGGGAGGTTACCGCTGGACGCCCCAGTGAAACCATACCTTTAAGCAGTGCGCAATCAAACTCTCATATTGTAACCCCAACTATAATACCTTAATTTGACGCCAAAATAGTAGAAGTGGACGATTGGCTAGAAATAATAGAATACAACGCCGCTGCTCATCAATGGTCAGACAGTTTTATCGTCTATCAGGTATTAAACAAATTAAAACGATCTGCCAAAACCTGGTACGACAGCTACATAGAAAGTTAATTGGGGTGGCCTGAGTTTACTTGGGAGCAGTGGAAAAAACTTATTTAAATGAACTTTTCAAAGTACCCGAAATGCTTAAGAACTATTATTAATAGACATAGCTACTCATAAACCTGAAAATGGCGACTCATTGTACGAATTTCATTTTAAACATTTGGCAAAAATAAATTTAAAGTATTTTTTTTCGATTCAAATAAGGTTTCTCTTATTATAGGAACAATAAATGACCCTAATATTAGCTCTACCGTTGAGTTACCTAGAATTACCGATGTAAATGTAGTAGGTATTTATTTGAAAAACAAAATTTACAATAAATCATCGGATCATGTTAATAAAGTTGCTTTAGAACCACCAAGTAGCAGTCACAAAAAACCATTCAAATTCGTCAAACAAAAACAAAATATTAGATGAGAGTGTCCGAATATCGCACAGGTTCCCAATATCGCACCCTTGGTTTATTTCTAAACTATTAATTCTGAAGCGCAGTTCTTTGCATCTTCATCCCATGGGCGGCGTTTAAAGAGCTTGCTTAAAGTCTAATACGGCTAGCAACCATTAGATGGCAGCAATGTAGGAAAACGTGCATTCAGGGGTGCTAGTCTCGAATTCATACGAACATTTTCTCATACGAAATTATTCTATCAAAAATTTGCGCATAAGAATTCAAATCCATATTCTTGAACTTCACTAGAACAATACAATTACGTACACGACATTTTTTGCATGACTAATTTGACAACACTGTTTCGGAGCAGTGCATACAACTTTAAAAACTTATTAGTTTTAGAGGTTGTTTGTCATTAGCAAAAATTATCAAAATTTTTGAAGTTCGATTTACATTGAAAGGCATGTATTGGTCAAGCGACAGGAATTAATAATTATTTTATAAATATTGAACAAGCACTTAAGTAAGCATACGTGACATAACCTTAAAAAGCGTAGTAGTGTCAATGGTAAAGCAATGCGTGTTAATATCAAGATTTTGGTAGATTTATTGAATTAATTAAGGATTTGACTGATAAAATGACAACGAAAAGAACAAGAAACATATCACATGAACAAAAAGAAACGCTAGTTGACTTCCTAGAACAGCACGATGCCCTTAAAAGCGGAAAATTTAGTAATAATTTTACTTTTAAAGATGCCCAAAAATTGTGGGAGGAAATTACAGAAACCCTAAATAGTATACCAGGGACCAAAAAAGATTGGCGATATTGGAGAAAGGTAAATTTTAAATACATATTTTTTTAAAATATATACTTAATTGACTTTTATTTTAGACCAAATGTCGAACAAAATGTGTCGAATTCGACATTTGTCGATGGAAATTGTCGCACAACTTAAAATTGTAGTATTCTCGATTGGTTTCGTCTTCCAAATCGTATGAGACATATTTTGTCGAATAGCATGAGCTGGCAACACCGAATTAACTATTCTCAAATAAGTTCTGTGCCAGTGTGACATGTGTGGTGGGTTTTAAGTAGGTTATGTTAATTACGTTTAAATGATGGCAGTGGAAGAAAAAAAAAGTTATTGTACCCAATCACAAAAAGAAACTCTCATCAACTTGATGAGAGAAAAAGAAAATGAACCAATTTTATCTGGCAAATTTTCTGCAACATTTACTTTCAAAGATGCTAGAAGTAAGCGGCAAAATATTGCCTCAATTTTAAATTCAGCCCCAGGTGCCTCTAAAGATTGGAAGCTATGGAAAAAGGTAATAATAATAATAATTACTTAATTGTTAACAGATAGTTATTAATTTTTCATTTCCAGAAATGGCAAGATCTTAGATTTAAAGCAAAAAAAAAGAAGTCCGATCAAGTTAAACATGCCAGAGGTACTGGCGGTGGGCCACCACTTGACACGAAGTATGACACAACAAACGAACTCATATTGAGCACAATAGCACCCACTGCAATAACTGGTTATATGAATGTAAATGAGACACCTATAGATTTTCAGTTTGCATCCATTGATGAAAAGGATGAACCGACCGACATGAATGAAGAATATGTTCAAGGTGAAGCAAATGAAATTGTCCTTGATGACCATATTTATTCAAAAGAAAATATTGTGCCCTAATCATCCTCGAATTCAAAAAACAAAAGGACCGTAGCTAGTCAGCGGTTACATACTAGTGCTATTGCAGCAACCACTCTTGTTGAAGTAAGTCGCAGTACACTAGATGTGCAAAAGGAGTATTACGATAAAAAACTTCAGTTACTTGAAAGACAAATTGTTGCAGTAGAGAATCTGGTGGATTTCTTTAAACAAAAAAATAATTTTTAATACTCAAGTTTATGCACCTGAAGTATTATTATTTGTTTTCTAGTTTATGAAGTTTTGTTAATTTTTTTTAGTTTTCTTATTTTTTAGTTCTACTTTTAAAGTTTATGTTACTTTTGAGTTAAAATAGTTGGATAGGTAAAAAAAGCAGTTTAATTTTAAAATATTATAATGCGATGAAATAATAAATTGTCATTTAGTTACATTTTATTGTTTAATTTACCTATAATAATTAATAAGCCTCTTCTGTAGCCTTATACCCTGTGTTAATAATGGGTTCCTCTGTGCATTTTCGTTTCCATAATTATGAGGAAGAAGACCAAAATCCACTTCTTCTAATTGTTCATCTCTATTTAGTAGTAGTTCTACTCTATTTTCAATATACATATTATGCAGCACTATGCAAGCATTTATAATCAATAATGATTTGTTAGGTGAATAATGCAATGTTCTGTTCTTCAGTAAGCACCTGAATCGCATTTTTATTAAACTATTACACCTTTCTATAGTGCACCTTACTTTTTTTTGTGCTTCATTGGATCTGTTTTCTTCGTCTGTAATGGGGTCAGCCAATGGTGTAATAAGCCATGGGCGAAGAAGATATCCAGAATCACCTAAAAACGAAATATAAGAATGAGATAAATCATAACTGAGAGAAATGTGATTAAGTCTGGGCGTGCTTCAGCTTATAATGAATTTATGCGTTACTTTATGAACGCACTTCATAGTTTACATTTTTACCTAGAAGAAAATAACCCTCAGTTCCTTTTCCATGGAGTTGTTCCAAACATTCCTTCACATTACTGTTATTCCAAATATAGGAATCATGGGTGCTTCCAGGATAGTTGGCATTAACATGAATAATTTTCATATATCTGAAATGTAGAATGTAGGTAATAGAGTAACAATTTATCACCTACCTATAACTTAACAGCTAAACATTTATGGAATGATACTGTTTTCTATTAACAAAGATATGTTCAGGTGCCAATGGATCATGCTTTTTCGGAGGTACAATTGCCACATGGGTGCAATCAATACATCCCACAATTCCTGGCATTCCAAAAATGTTGTAAAATCTAAAACGAACTGAATTATGTACACATCCAATTTTTGTATTCATAATAAAGTAAAACCTGTTTCTTATATCATTGAGCTCATTCCTATTTCTGGGAAATTTAATGAATCTTGTAAGAATTTCTGGAGCATTGAGAGCTAATGTTATTTCATTTACACATCTGCTCACTGATGACTGTGACAATGCAAAAAAAATTACTGTCTCCCACGGTACCTTGGTAAGATCCAGTTGCGTAGAAATGCAGTATCACAAGAACTTAGAGAATATAATAAAAGATTATCAGAAAATAGTGTATACGGTACATAGTTATGTAACATTTTCCGTCCGAATAATTCAATTATCCACACGAACAAAATTTCTCAGACCGCCCCTGAACGACAGACAAATGGCTGTTAACGGTACACGCGTCTAGCACGTGGAATGGTATTCGATTGGTGAAACAAAAAGTACTCCCTTCTCTTTTAGCCCGGGAAGAAAGGATTCGGAGGTCAGACAGGTCGAGACGGGCAAGAAAAAAGCAAGCCGATACACAATTACCGTACCGTGATAAAAAATGCCTTGAAATTTTGTGATTAAAGAATGAGGTGTTGTAGAAGTGTATATTTGCTGTGTGTGGATTGTTCTCGTAAATTTCGAGTAAGGTGCCTCGTGTGAAAGGCGGTGAATAATTGCCGACCAACACCTGGGTATCGTGCTACCGTGATGACTCCCAGACAGACTTCTGGAGCGAATGCCGTTGAGTAGAGCCAAGGAAGAAAACTGTAAGTTTTTCTTTTCGTTACCGTAGTGGTCAGCCAGTTGATGAAACAATGTACTGAACCCTCTTCATCGTTGAGAAGTGCATCAGACCTATCCATGTCCGATATCTAATTGAAACTACATAACTATTTCAATACAAGAGTTATGTAGTAAGTTTCTAAACAAATATTCATATTCAACTCGCCTAATAAAAGTGCTTAATTTTACCAGACAACTTTGAAATTTTAAAAAATAGGACTTTTACAATTTTGTAAATACCTAGTAGATTTGATTACTAAAACGATCGCGTTTGTCGATTTATAGTTATGATAACTGGTTAGTTTGAAGACTACCCACGTCTAGTAGACACATTTTTGTTCTGTATTTTACTATAATCGTAGATTTAATGAAAATAGGTATGCATACTTATTACAAAAAAATTACCTTCTGTCTTTTACTTTAGTTACAAGGTGTACTTGCAACTACCGCATCGAAATATCGCTGTTGCTAATTGAAACGGTTGGTTACCAAATTTCTTAACTACATTAAATTTGAATCTTATAAAAATTATTTAGTAAAGTGGGCTATCACTATATTTTAATCGCTTTGTCGTTACGAAAAATGTTCCCGGGTATTTTAGTTTTATTTCAAAGATAGATGCTGGGTTTAGTTGATACAGAAAAGAAGGTAATTTTGATAAATTTAATATCGAAAAACTGTTTCGCACATCGTCCCCTGTGGCGTTGAGGATGTCTGAATTTAAGTAGGTCATTTTTTTTGTTTTAATCTGACCTACGACTGAATATATTATTGTTTGTTTATTTTATCCAGTTTCACAAATAATATTTTTTTTGAGTGTTTTCAGTGCACTTATCTATTGATTGCTCTTGTGTGTTGATTTGATTTAGAAACATCAAATCTCTATTTTTGTCTAGGTGTTATACACGTTATACCGGGAGTGTTAAAAATTACCTCTAGCGTACAAACAATTTCCTTTAGTGTGCACCTATGAATATTGTATCTTGTGTATATGTTTTGCTGTCTTATTTGAGTCAGTATATTTTGTTTGTTCAGCAGAACATAAGCTCTGATGCCTATTAGAATATTTTTTTTATATAAATGTAAACGTTGGTTAATTACAAATAAACTTATGCGTTTTTTGTGAGACCAGCACATAGTTCACAGATGACTTCGTGATTAATTTTTTTTGTGACAGATAATAAACAATTTAATCATTAATTTACTTTTTGCAGTTTTTGGAATTTTTTCTTTATAAAAATTCCTGGCGTCCAAAATAAGTAATTATCGTTTAGAACATCTACCTTAAAACTCATGACCCAATTGCTCTCCTACAACAACTCGAGTGTCGTCCGCATTATATCTTTACTGGCCATCATTTAGGATTGATTCTGGATATCAGGGTTGTTCTTACCCAGTACCGTACCAGACTTATTAAGAATAATATTGCGCCGTCCAGTAAAGATGTAACAGTTACACCGATTTATTAATCATAATGCAGAAGAGCGATGTCCCTGTACCACAAATGGTTCTAGAAGTACAATTAGCTCACGCACTAATTCCTTGCTCAATCTAAATGTTTTTATAAATTTTCTGTCCGATAAAAATTTGAACGCATCTTGATATATTCCTCTTCTATTTCGAGGCCGTTGATAATTTTCTTGGTTTTCCAAATTTTCAATCGCTATCAATGAAGCTGCCATTCTGAAATAAGGGATATAACCTACTAACCTAAAATAATCCTGTCAAATATTTCATGTCGCATTCGACATGAAATTGTCGACCGCTTCAAACCACTCTACAATTGTCTACAGTGTTTATCTATCGAAAATTTTCGAATGCGACATTCGGGAGTAACAAATTACGTTTTTTGTTCGACAATGTAAATATCTCGCATGCGACAAAATATGTCACTGTTTGAGAATAGACCCCCTGACAGGACTTGAGAACTAAAATTAAGTCGAAACAGTCTTCAATAAGGAAGCATAGGCTGAAAACAGGTGGTGGAGAAATAATAAAAGATCACCTACATCCTATTGAGGAGCGAATACTTGGTATAGTTAGTAACATATCAATATCAGATCATATTAATTCACAGAAATCACTAGTCGATCTCAATATAAATGAACATGAGGAAGTTCAACAAGAATATATTCATGAAAATAAGAAAATTCAACAAGAATGTATAATCGAAAATTTGGATGATGGAGATCACAATTACAGCACACAAAATGTTTGGCCAGAATCCGAACAAGTACAAACAGAACAACACATAGTGCAAATTCATGAGCCACTCATAGTAGAAAATCAACAAAATAAAGAAAAAGAAACACAAAACCTAGTAGGAAATAAAAATATAAAAAAGAGACCAAGAAGAGCACAGAGACTTGAAAATAACATAGATGCAACCAAAAATCTAGCTCAACAATGTAAAATCAAGAATAATATTAAAGAAAAATATTATAATGCAAAACTAGAACTCATGCAAGAAGAAATCAATACCAAGAAACGAATGGCATGTGCTTTAGGAACTATAGCAGAGGCTTTAAAAACCCATGACTAATTATAGTAATTATCTCTATATTTTTTTTTTGTTAGTTGCTTACCATTTTGTTAGTTGCCTACCTATTTTAATAAAATCTTTAATATGATTATTTTTTATAGTATTCTTTTCCAATTATTTTAGTTAAAAATAGGATTATTAAAATTTTTAATCAGTAATAAGTTTTATTAAAAATAGTTAATTAACAGCAGTAAAGTGATTATTAACGATATTTTGACGTACTCTTCGACCAGCAACAAGTTGAGGGTTGTTTACTTCATTCACATAATTTATTGGCTCGTTTTCAAATATTCCATATTCAAATTCTGGATAATCTTCGACATCTTCTAATGGTATATTATTATCTACACAAATATTGTGTAGGGCCACACAAGCATTAATTATTTTTGATGCCATTTCAGGTTTATATTGTAAAACCCGATGTTTTAAAAGACATCTGAATCTCATCTTTAGCAAACCATTACACCTCTCTATTATTGATCTTGTACTTTTTTGACAATCATTATATGCCTTTTC